TATCTTTAATTCAGGGAGTAGATTTTAGAACAGTTTTTAAAACTACTGAACGTGAAGAACATGTATGTTTACTCCATTTTTTAAAAGACAGAATTAAACAGTCTTGGGAAATATCACCTTTAGACTGCAAGATTCACTTTGTGAAAATGTCCACCTAATAGACAATACCTAATTTATAGCTGTAACTCCTAACTTTATGCTTGAAGATGAGTATAGCTAGTAGCTACCTTGCATGACCATGGAGCTTGGGTTGAAATCGCCAAAAGTCTATGAATCATTCTGTTGTAGGTTTACCATTAGTCAAAATCTGCCTCTTGACAACATATTTAAAAGTGCAATTAATCTGGCTATTTTATATATAAGGAAAAGCAGCCACAGATAAGTTAAATAACGTGTCTAAGGTCACAAAGCAAGGAACAAAGATAGCAAGCAATAAAATCCAAGTGCTCTGACTTCTCAGTCCTCATAGCCACTACATGTCATGAGCCACATATCACATGAGCACATTCATAAAGAAAGAAAACACCATTTAGAGGTATAAATCTACTATTTATTAAGTCTCTATTCTATGCCAGGCACTAGACACTGGAGATCAATGAATTTTAAAAAGAATTGCCCTGAGCTGCAGAAAAAAAAAATCCAAAAGCAGATCTAGGGTAGGCTGAAAACAAAGAAGCGAGCAGTTACAACACAGGATGTATTAATGCTCAAACTTGCTGGCTTGCTGGCTGTCCTTTGTTTCAGGGGAACACAATACCAAAATAAATAAATAAATAAATAAATAACTTAAATAACAATGTAACTTTTATAGGCAATGAACTTTTTTTTAATATTGAATGGTTGTAAAAAATAAAAAAAAACTATCTGGACAGGAACACTGAAAAACAACATTGTATAAACCTTTCCTTCATTGCTGGAAGACCAAAACCATTACAATGATCTAACACAATGCTTTAGGAATGAGGGGCTTCTGTCCCTACTTAAAAAAAAAAAAAAAAAAAAAAATCAAGTTGTTACACTCTCTCCCAAAGAGATTGCACAAGGTTATTGCCTACCTCTACCGGTTAGTTACACCCTCTCTTAATATGTTATGATACAGAATTAGGTTAATCAATAGCTCAATAGCCACACTGTGATCTTAAATTTAAATTATCACAGAAGATCCCTTCTCCAGAGTGAAGTCCTTAGATTTATACCAATTTGCCTATTTCCTTTGGGTTCTATTTAGGTACTATGAAAGACAGTAGCTACCCATAAAAAATAAATTATCTACTTCAAAATTTTACCATGACAAATCCGAGAAGAAGATGAAATACCTTACTTTAAACAGGGACTATGATGATAAAGGAATCTTACATGAGCAGTACCTATGTGCCAGGTATGTGTTGGGAGCTTGATAGGTATTATTTTATCTTCACAATACCCCTAAAGAAATAGGTCATTCTCCATTATATAAATAAGAAAAGCAAGGTTCAGGTCATACAAAATGTACAGGGCAAGAATTAAATTATATACTTAGGGTAAAGAAAATTAAATAATCTAAATGGCTTTCAAGCCCAGGAAGAATAGGTGAAACAGTTTTAAGATTTTTAGGGCAGTAGTTTGCAAATCTGATGGCACCTGGGGAAACTGCCAGGTGAGTTCCACCCAGAAAATTGCAATTTAATTGCCTTGTGATTGTAGTGGACAATCAAAGCTGAGAACCACTGTGTTGAGACATTGAGATTGGTGCATGGCCCATAGGAAAGATGGTAACATTTTTTTTTTTTAAATTGAGATCATGTTGGCTTACATGGCTTTTGGTATTTTGGAAATACAAAATCACCCCTTCAGGTGTAGTTACCACAGTGTATCCAGTATTAAAGTATCCACAGTCTGCCACCATAATCCCTTCATAATCCCTCAATCCCAGAGGGAAGTAGGATTATGGATACCTACCTCCCTACCTCCCTCTGGATATCTTAGTTCTACAATTTTCAAGGGTTAGTTTTTTTTTTTTTTTTTTTTTAAGTATGGCTTTATCTGACCCTTTGATTTCTCTATATTCTACATAAAGGTGACACCATTAAGATGGTCTTTCTCCTTTAAATTTATTTAATTTAGCAAAGTCCCTTCCAGCTCCATCCATGTTGCCATAAAGGGCGTAATATATCTTTTGACCACTGAGTGATATTCCATTGTGCATATACCACATCTTCTTGATCCACTCATCTGTTTGGGGGCACTTAATTTTCTCAAAAGGTTAAAAAAGGACCTACTATTAATTTTTAAAGGTAATATAAACACCACCCTGATCAAAGGTTGTTACTACCGCCTCTGCCACCAGTATGTGACCTGTGTCCCACTTCTCAGAATCATTAAGCTACAGTGTTTAAGAGAGAGGCAGATTGGCAGAGACACATTTTTTTTAGTGGAAAATGGTTTCCCATGTCACCCAACCCTTTTTCCTATTTTGGGACTTTTCTACCTCAAAATGCACTTACAGTTAACAATCTACTTTCCAAATTATCTTGGAAGTGGAACTAAATATGTTCACTTAAGTCATATTATAGAACCATAACTTTAAAACTTTCAATAGTCATTAAAGGGATGGAGGACACTTGTTCTTTAATCCAAGTTAGGTCACTAGCTCTCATACAACTGAGTAAGTCATAAGAATGGAGATGCTAAAAGCCCTAAAACCCACCTCTGCAGCATTACATGGATCTACTGAGTAAAATGTCATCTGCCTTTGAAAAAGGGGGGGGGAAGCTGCATTATCATTAGAAAATCTTCATTAAATGTCCTGCAGATATGAAATCCATGCTAAATACAACAGAAATAAATACATTAAAAATAAATAAATAAAAGCCTGTAGCCTTCTTGAGCAATAGTGCCTGGTACAAAATCGTACTGCAAGTATTGCAGCAGCACAATTCAAGAGGAAATGGCAAAAAGATAAATTAAGAAACAGACTTTAAGACTACTCAAACTAGATAAGACATCTCCTGCTACAAAGTAAATGCAGCTATTAATAGTCTGTATAACCTGGTTACCACTCCTCCCCTCCACTTCTGCCACCAAAAGAAGGCAAATCAAAGAAGAAACAATGATTTTCAAATGCAGTTACTGCAAATAAAAGCCATAATTCAGAAACCAGCCTCTCAGTCAACTCCTTTCACTGGCAGTTGAAGAAAATGACCTAATGAACAAAATATTATGCACTTTGGATTTCAAAAAGCTGAGAAATAGAAATGAAGCCTGGGGAAGTTGAAAGAAGTGAGAAGTGAGTAGAATTCATTTTTCACCACAATTAGAGTGACTTGCTTTTGTTTGTTGATTGAATAAAAACATACTGCTCTCTCCTGAGTGTCAGTGCCTGTAATGCGCTGGTGAACATGACAGCAACTGTTCTCCTGCACTATAAGACAAGGCACCAACTTAATGTGATCTGTGTAATTCACTATTTTAAGCGAAAGTCTTCTGCTTTACCACTAGTGGAGGCGGCTCTCTCCCCTGGTTGGGCAATAATGAAGTAGTTACAGAAAAGCTGCTGACACTTCCTAAACAAATGAGAAAATAAACATCCAAACTCACATTCCAACTAAAATTAATGGGTAATTTCTGCAAATTTAAGGAAACATAACTTGAACCTAAGTCTATCCAAACAGTTTTTCCTTTTTAACCAAGCAAAGCTCATGTATTTTCACTCCTCTAGCTATGTAGCGTCAGTAAGCTAAGAATACTCCCTTTTCTTCTAAATTGGGAAGAGTAAATAAGACCAAGCAATCAGTTGTGGATCATTTTCGTTCATTTAAAATTTTTCTTTTTACTACAAAACACCCAAAATAGCTGAAGTGATGAAAAGGCATCTGTTTTATATTTGAGTATACTACACTTGCACAAATATCCACCCAGCCTGCCGCTTCCTAGTAATAGAAAATAAATATATTTGCATTATCAGCAAAGCAGTCTGTCAACATTTTATTTCTCAGAGTTCTTTAATGTTATTATTTTGGGGGTGGGGTGGGATGAGAACTGTGTAAGTATTAAAAACTAACCACAATTTCAAGTAAACTCTTTCAAAAATAGTTTTAGGATGCCAGTTGTGCACTCAACAAGATCACATGGTGCTTACTTTGCAGTCATACATCATTTATGTTTCTGAAATTTACATGAAATGAGATTCTAAAACAGTACACAAGCTTTAAGTCTTCTTGCAGTTCTTGCTCAAGCAGTGTTTGTTGTGTCTGGCAACGTGAAAAACTGTCTCCCTGGACTCCTCAAGGCTAACTGTAAATTACACCCACACACTCCACCCCAGCTTTGGGGAGTGGGGGTTGAGGAAGAGTTATTCAGGAAAGCAAACAATTTTTCTTTAAAAAAATAATAATAAAACTTGCATGATGGTGAACAGCATTATGTGGACTTGTGGACTTCACCAACATTTCAGCCCCCTCTAGCCACTCTATTAAGTCCACCGAAAAAAAGAACTAAGAACTAGGAGCTTGATGTTCAACTGTACTGGGCCATTTGGCTAGGTTACTAAAACGCAACTTGGGGGAAAAAATATCAGTCTGAGAAACCTCTGCCAACCTCCTATTTCAGAGGCTACTGACAAAGCCAAACTGACGGTAAAGCAAAAACCTAGAAATGATGAAAGCAGGACACTCTGGTTGGGCAGCAGAGCAGTGGGAGGTTCTCTGGGCTGGTCGGCCTGACCGCAGCTGGGCCTCGACAAGTGCTGGGCTCCAGGGCTCCGCACCCCGCTGGCCAGCGCCTAACCTGGCCGCAGGCTGATGCCAGTTTCAAAAGGACCCGCGCGGAATGACGCGGGACGCTGGGGAAGTCATCTCCCCTGACACACCAGGGCCCCGGCCGCCCCACGGGGCTCGCCTCTGATGTCCCTGAGGGCCGGGTGCACGGCTGTGCCAACGGCTCCCCCCAGGCACTTTGCCAGCGGCCGGGAGGGAGGCGCGGGGCGAAGTTGGCCCCTGGCGCGCGCGTCCCGTTAACCGTACCTTGTAACTGGGCGGACAGGGACTCCTGGTGCTGCTGGTACTTGAGTGCTACCGCCTCGGCTTTCCGCAGCTGCGTCTGCAGCTCGTAGTACAGCATCGCTCCGTAGAGAAAGCCGAACACCACCGTCAGCAGCAGCAGCGTCTGGAAAATTCGCTTCTGCTTTCGGGAGCACATCCCGTTTCCCATAGTCCCGCTGGGACCCAGCGCCGCGGCAGCCCCTAGCCGCCGCGGTTCTTTCCTCCCCTTCCCGGGAGCGAGCGCCTCAGCAGCGGCCGCCACAGGAGGTGGCCGGACGCGGCATGAGCAGAGGACGCGAGACACAAAAGCCGGGCCGGAGGGGAAGTGGCGCCTGCTCAGCCCCCGCGCGCCGCGGGGCGCGCAGCCATCGACGCCGTCCGGGCCGCCGCCGCCAAACTTTTGCTAGGCGTGCTCCCCTCTAGTGCCCGGGCCGGAGAGGGGGCCCTCCGCATACTTCTGCACGCGCGGTCCTCGCGCGGGCCCCAGACGCCGCCGGTCGCTCCTGCCTCCTCCCCACTTTTTGGCCAGGCTGTCCCAGGCGGTGCTCCGAGTCCCGCCCAGCCGCTCCCGCCCCCTCGCGGCTGCTCCCACTGCGTGACTTTGTTGCCACCAAAAGGAGGGTTGCGCGCCCAACAAAGAGTCCCTGCTGCCCAGCGGAGCTTCCGCGCGCGACTCGCCTGAGTGGGTGCAGGCTGGGGGCCGGCTGTCTCCACCGGGGTGGAGGACAGCACCGGTGTCACTGAAGGGGCTGCCCCAGTCTCGGCCTCCACCGCCTCCCACCCAACTTACGTGTCACCACGGCCCCGCTATTCTGGCCAACGGGATTCCAAGAGGAAGTCCCATTCGGGATCCCCGCTCATTGGGCCGGTCGGAGCCTCCGCTCCCTCCCTTTGGGGAGGCTGTACGGGGCTCCATTGGACGCCAGTTTTGTCCATCCGACCCCAGTGCCGCGTCTTCCCTCCCTCTGCTGGGGCTGATTAGGGGCTAAGTGACCCGCGCTAGGCTGCACCCACGTGGAGTGTGGTTGGGTGGGAAACCAGGGGCGGGGAAGCTGGGGTTCGTGGGGGACAGTCTTATCTTGCGGCGTGAAGTGCGGTGCACACGTGTGTGTGTGTGTGTGTGTGTGTGTGTGTGTGTGTGTGTGTGACCCAGCACTCGGGACGCACGTGGGAGAGTAGTAGAGTGACTGTATGTGAAAGAGTGGACTGTATATGAAAGCGTACTCTATCGAGCTCCCTTTCTCTTATCCAGTGGGCAGATGCGGCAGGCACAAGGGATAGCTACATCGTCAACAAAATCTCATAGTGGATCGGATGCCTTGCCAACCGAGTCGTCCCCCATCTAGTTTACTAGCTCGGCTGCGTGTGAGCCCACAGATGGCAGGACACGAGTCGGGAGACTCAGGCACGCTAGATTTGCTTTTCAACTGTCCGCGTGGGTTGGGGAAATCAGCCTGTCTTTGGCAGAGAGGAAAGAGATGATCTCATCCAAACCCAGCCCAACCACCACCTCCCCACCACCGCTGCAAATAGAATAATTTAAAACACAAATCTTACGAGCTGACAAATGCATTTATTTTGTCTTTTGCATTTGTTTTATTGGTGGCAAAAAATACATTAGCCACATTTTTTCATTTCCAGTTCAAAGGCCAGCAAAGGTTCCCTATGTAAAAGCAAGTTAAACAAACCAAATAACCACAGACCTCTTCAAAGAAAATCCATGGTGCATTTGTTCTTTCTATGTAGTTAAGAGGCTAAATTGAGGTTAAGCACACATAATTTTGTGTCTGTACTTGACCTAAATTCTAAAGAAAATAAGTCATTTTTCAAATGCCTTTGTAGTGTAGTGGAATATATTACATACATATATATTACATATATTGCATACTTTTTAAGATATTCAACCCAAAATTTAGTTATCATCAAAAATGGCCAGTGAGTGTTCAAAATGAGGGTTAAATCTGTTTTGTCAAATACATCATACAGACAGTCCCTGTTGTAGAAATCTTTATAGGTGAACCCTGAAGTTAGAGAATGCTAAAATCACAAACAAAATGTTTGTGACATTTATGCCCGTGAAAATTAAATGTACTTTTAACAAATTCTTACAATAGTTTTAAAAATGCCCTTACAAATACACTGTCTCACTTATCATAGCCAGGTTTAGTCTTAGGCTTCCTTTCATAAATAAAGTTTATTAAGTAACTGATAGCTATAAGCCCTATTTCAAACAGAAAAAGTTAGTTCAGCCGGATTACAATTCAGATCAAAATCAGAATCCTTTTCCAGCTTTTTCATTAGTAGAAGCTAAGTTTTCATTATATTTAAACAAGTAGTAACATATTGATTATGGTCCATTAAAACTGAAAAAAAGAAAAAGATCTAAAACAGTTTCGGAGTATTGTTCTGTTGTATATCAAATGGTCTTACTTATGGAATCTACCACTGTTTAAATTTCCCTCTTTCATTCAGTCGCTTAGAAATTAAAACTAGATGATTACTGTGACCTTGTAAAGATTCTTCATAACTAAAAATTCCTTACTTTTGCAAGTGTACAATTTGCTGAACAAACTCTTTCTGCAAAATAAACTACCAAAACTGCTCTGAAGGAAGTGAAATATTATAGCAACAAGTCTGGCCCACTCTAGAACTGAAAATTATCCTAACCCCAAAGCAAAAACAGAAACTGTATAGAGGGTTGGAAAATTATTGTTGTATGCCATACTTAGTTGTATTTAGGAATCTTTGGAAATGCTTATGTTCCTGGAATATATGATTACTCATTTTGAACCTCTGATTTCCTTGCAAATGATTCCAGACTCCAAAGATTTTCTTTGCCTAAAGCTGCTGGCTGACTCTACAGAATATAATAAATGTAGGCCATAAAACACAGCTCAATATTTTAGTCATAAAATTTGAAGAGAACAAAAATTATTACCTGAACTTATCCATTACTTCAAATTCAAAAAGGGTATATAAAAGTACATAAAATCACTAATGGCAGTATCTTTATTATATTACTTTTCCAAGGTAGAGTATGCTGGTAGTTTCTTGAACATATCAATATAGAGCTTTTTCGAGGCCAATATTGAAGATGTTATCCAGGACTTAGAAACAAAATTTGCATAGTATTGCCTTTGGGTTGTGATTTTAATAGTTAAGCTATTTATATTGGTCTTGCTAGGTGTGTTACTAACTTTGTCTTATTTTTGCCTCTTTATCATTTTAAAAATAGTATTATATAGCTATATTTCCATACACTGTATAATTAATTAACAGTATATTACTTAAAAGTTACGAATCCTGAGTTATTTCAACAATTTAATATTTGGTTGTTAAGAAATTAAAGAGATTTTGATGCCTTACAGCTGAGGAGGGCTAAATTAAAATTGAGGACCTTAAAATTCTCTCCAGTTGTAGTGGATTTTATTACAATTTGTATGTTTTCAAAGCAGCCAAGGGCAAGAAAACCAATGTTGAGGAGTACAGCTAATCTCTAATTTTTAAAAATAGGTGACTTTAATGCTCTAGATTCTAGAATGATTTCCATTATGTTTATAATTTTCATTAAATGTCTTTATTATGAAAAGAATTTTTTTTTAATTTACAAGAGAAACAAACACCTAAGAAATAGAGAATTATTATTTTTTTAATTTGTAATTATATGTGGTGATGGGTGCAGACCAGATTTATTGTGGTGATCATCTCTTATTTTTCCTCTTTGGAAGCTTCATTCCTTACTTTTGCCTTTTTGCCACTTCATCCATTTGCTATCACTTAATTAGTTTCCACTGCTTGCCATCTTTACCTGACCTGTTTTGAAGGGTAAGGGAAGCTACATTAAGCTTCTGTTCTGTCATTTGGAGGGTTCTTTGCGATATGTTTTAAAACTCCTTTTCACCAGATTTTGCTAATGGCCTGGTGGTAATTGTTAGCAGATTAGCAAAGTAAGACCTTCTGTGGCTAAGCATGCAACAAAGAAATTGAAATTTGCTCAGTATGGATTGGTGCCTTTGCTTTGCTCTTTCCCTAAGCTGCCACTTTTATAACTTTGAGCTATTTAAGGGGGCAGAGGAGAGGGAAAAGTAAATTCTGTAGCCTTTATTTTGTTTTTCAGAATGAGAAACTTCACCATCAGCATTAATAATCAAGGCCTTTTGAATATAGACTGCTTTGAAAAGGGGTGAAATGATTCAGAAGTTCCAGCTTGCCACATTTGTAGCTGAAATAATGAAACAGAACTTCTTTAACATATGGATCTTCTCCAGCTACTTTCTATAGCAGGCCCATCTAGCATACCCTAGACTTTCCCTTAAGAAATAGTTTTGGTTCTTAAAATGGAAAAGAGGTGAGACTCAGAGGTGAGGTTAACGTCCCAAATCTTGCCTCTGTGTTTTCTTAGAGCTTTTCTACTGTCTGACTGCCTTCAGTAACTCAGTAGGAGAGACTCCAGAAGAGTAGAGAGATCACGGAGAGATCAGCAGCCAATGATATCTGCATTTAAAAGTCCACACCACCCAATGTTGAGTTAATTAGATTATTTTTTCTAAAGGATGTGCTTGGTTTATCCATTAATATTTTATAGAATTGACATTAAATTTTAATGTTTTATATGATAGGTATTTGTAGTAATTTCTTAATTGTCTCTAGACATGGCTGGTCATCCTTATGATATGTCCAATGTTAAGTCCCTGTTCAGAAATTCAACATTCAATTTCAGAACTATTACTAAAGGAAATCAGAACCTGCTCCCTAAACATGCTGTAGTATCCATCATGCTCTAGTTTCCATGAGCATTTTGAATCAAAACAAAGGATTGATTCAAAGGATTGATGCCCATGTTTTTACTTAAATATAAAGTAGAATAAACTTTCAAATTAAAGAGTTAGCTAATAAATTCAGCTCAACTTAAAATTGTGAAGTGGAAATATTTTTCTCATTTTAATGTGCTTCTCATTTTGTTTTTAGTTCAAGACTTCAATATCTGATAGCCAACACCCTAGCAATCCCTTTGGCTTCCCAGAATTCTTGTCTGTGACTATTCCTTTCACTTTCCACCACTCACACACATACATAAAAGTGTGGCTTTCCTTAAAAATGTGAACTAATCTAAAGCAAACTTCCTTGAAGAGAACAATCATTTCTGCCCTTTATTTTTGTTAAAGTAACCACTAATCATTGGAAAATAATTTGGGTAAATTAATAGGAAGACGTTAAGGAACATAGTCAAAGAACTGAACATTTCTTGCATATTATCTCAAAAAGCCTATTGTAAAGTTGAGCAATAGGTGTGGAGAGATGGGTGTGACTTCACTATTTAGTTCCTGATTCTCCTGCCCTACTGTAAAGAGACTTAGGCTCAATTAAAAGGAAACACAGATGCAAATGCCAGGGTACAGATCCATAAAAGTCACTATCATCCAAGCAGGCAAGAAGGGCAGAGCAGGCAAGCTGGGCAGTGGGCCAGGAGGTGGGGAGCACAATCT